TGGCCCTGCTGCAATGGCATAAAATGGGGTCAGCAGCACCTGGAGCTCTTCTGTGGAGGCATTTCTCCTCCTAGGAGCAGGACAGAGGGCTGGTGGGGTCTGGCTGGCCCCAGTGGTAGGACACTGTCCCACTTCAGGCACAGAACTGCCTGACCCAGGCTTCCCTGGTGCCCCCCTGACACCAGAGACTCTTGTTTTCCCTTTGGGACAAGCTGGGAGTCCCCAAGGACTCAGGACATCTTGAACTCATCTACAGGGGATGTTGAGGAGAAGGCATCCTGGGATGGATATATTTTGGCAAATTCAGCCGTCCCCAATGGGTGCTGTGTCCAGCACTGGCTGTGCCATGGGCTACCAGCGCTGGGGGTGTCACGGGACAGCACGGGGGTGGCCCATCCCCAGCAGGCAGCTCCAACCCTGTTGTTTCCATCCAGCTCGTTTCATAACACAGAAAGCAATTAATGCTCTAAAAGCTTTCTATTTATGCGCTGCTGGGTGAAACGCCCCGTCCTGGCTGGGCAGGGCAGTGTAATTGGGCCAGGGAGGCACGCCGGGTTACAGTGTCCGTCTGTCCTCTGCCCTCGGGTCCTGAGCCTGAAGACTCGAGCAAAACCGGCTCAGGTCCTCCAGAAGGCGAAACCCGGCTGTGCCACCCTGCCAGGACTGGGGAAAAGGAGGGCATGGAGGGGTTGGCTTGGATGCCCGTGATTCTGCCATTAGGAGGGAGCTGTGCCCTGGCTTTGCCTCATCCCCTTCCTCCTCTCTGCCCCAAACATTTCGGGAGCAAATCGCTCACATTTTCTCTTTGTTCATCCACAGCTCCCTGGGATGAGGGGTCTGAGCATCCCTCAGCCTCGCATGGCTGAGCAAGGACCAGCCACATCCCTGCCAGCCCAGGGCTTTGCTGGGAGCAAGGGGACCCTTTGTCTGTTGGGGTCCAGCTGGAGCTGGGGGGCATGGGGAGCCTGGGGCAGCCCTGGCAGTCCTCCTGACCCTGGTGGGATGCTGCCACGTGGCTTCCTGCGGTTTCCTCGCTCCGATTGCTTCCTGAGCCGCCCGCCAAGCCGGAAGGGACAGGAAGTGATAGAGGGGAGGAAATTAGTTGGGCTGTCTCACGGGGAGCTGGCCTGGTGCACTGGGGGCTCTGCCACTGTCTGGGTGCTCAGACTGTGCCAGGGGACCTTTCAAAGAGGATGTGGCCAGTCGGGAGGTGCAAACCTGGGTGGGAGACAGCAGGGTGGCCACTGTTCCCTCCAGGAGCCAGGGAATCCCTCACCGCAGCCTGAGCTGTTTGGAAGAGGAGCACGATGTAAACAAACCTCCTTTCACCGCCCTCGTGCAGTGCCACCCGCCTCGGTGAGCTCTGGCTGTCCCTGGCACAGCCATGTGCCAGCCAGGATGGTGTTTCCCTGCAGGAATGAGGCATGGTGTGCCCAGAGGGTCCCTGGGCAAGGTGCCAGGGATATGGGGCTCCTGTGACCTGCAGGGTCATCTTGGCAGAGCTGAGAGCATCCCGCTCTGTGCACTGCAGTGGACACAGCAGCATCTTCTCTGGTGTGTTGTGGTCTTGCTGGCATCCCCCAGGAGCTCCACAGCTTTTGGGTTTCCTTCCAGGGGCTCTGCAGAGCTGGTGGCCCTGTGACTGTGTGGGCAGCATTCCTCCTGGCCGTGTCACCAGGTGGGGAGAGGCAGGAGCAGGGACACAGCCCCAGCCAGTCCTCCCCTGCCTGAAACAGGGAGCACGTTAGTGAAAGCCTCTGCCTGCCTACGAATCAGTGCCAGTATCAGCCCCTCTGCCTGCCTACAAATCAGTGCCAGTATCAGAGCCCAGCTGTGCCCTCACTGAGCCCCAGTGTGCCAGGACACGAGGAGCTGGGGTGCCCTAGAGCCCCAGCTTTGATGTCTCACAGAGCAGTCCCTGGCAGGGGCTGCACGCTCAGCACCAGGGAGGATGGGACTCGTGTCCCCCTCACCTCCAGAGTGTGGGTGCCATCAGTCACGGTGACAGGGAGGGGTGACAGCAGCCTCATGTTCCCCCACAGGGCTGGTGCAGGCGGCACTGGGCCAGTGCAGGGCTGAGCTGCTCTGTGCTGATCCTGCCCAGGCTTGTCATGAACTTTTATCCTTTAGCCGTGGGGTCTGGGTGCAGGGGGGAGGGAGAAGGGCTGCACTGCCCTGGGCCCCCTGCACGGGGAGGCAGGATGGAGGCAGCATGCATCTGGATCCCCTCCCTGTCTTTGCAGGGCTCTTTGTCTCCACCATGTCCCCAGCACCTTTGCAGTCTTTTTGTCCCAATGTCCCCTGCCACCTGGGCAGCCCCAGGTAAGAAGGGGTCCTTGGGGCTGCTCTGTCCCACACCTTGTCCCTCTGGACAGTGCCAGCTGGGGACATGCTGTGCTGCAATCCCCCTTGTGGAGCGAGTGCTGGTGACCGTGCCCTCTGCTCCAGGTGCTTTGAGGAGAAGCTGTGACAACAGCCACCACCCCTGTCCCAGTTTGGGCAGGACACAAAGGTTTGGGGCAGTGCAAGGGCTGCTGGGGGTGTGCCTCATGGTGCACCAGATGGGGTGATGCTTTTGGGGCTGGCCATGCTGGGGAAGAGGAATATGCTGTCCCCCAGCTCGGCAGCACGGCTCAAGGATGAGGTCTGGGTGCGTGGGGGCAGTGTGGGAGTGACGGGCACCTCTGCCCATGTCACAATGTCCCCGTGCTCCCTGCATGTCCCCTGTGCCACCCTGCACGTCCCTGACCCGATCCCTATCGCAGCTGGTTGTGCTGGATCCAGCAGCACCTTGCTCCTGTCCTTTGACACTCACAGGGTGCCCACGGTGCTTCTCTGACTGCAGACGCTGCCTGCAAAGTATTTCCTTCCCTCACCCACCACAAAACACCCATTTCTCAGGCGCCCTTCCCTCTTTGCATCCCCCTTTGCTTTCGCAGGGTTTAAGGAGGTTTCCTGTAGCTCCAGCAGGGTCCCAGCCCCAAGCAGCTCTCCCAACTGCCTGCAGCCCCACTCCCTGCTCAGGCCCCAGGTTTCCCTCACATCCCCTGCCCCTGGTGCTGGGGCCAAGCCCTGGGGGCCGTGGGAACACCGTCCCAATCTCCTGGGCAGCCTTGACCTGGCAGGGAGATAAGGCATGCCCTGGAGGCATCCTGCTCTGGAGGCATCCTCCCCTGCCTGCTCTGGGCACCTCATCCACTGGGGGACCTCACAAGGGTGCAGCCCCCTCCATCACCCTCTAAAGCTGTGGGCTGGAGCGTGTGCCCCCCACAAATTCAGGGTGTGAGGGGCGAGTGAGCTGGAAGTGGGGACACCCTCCTGGCCTGGCTGTCACTGAGTGTCCCCTCTCATGGGTGGTGGGCATCCTCAGAGTAGGCAAGCATCCCCTGGGGATGTGGGTCAGTGGTCCTGGGATGCCCAAACCCTTCAGAGATGCTGTGGGAGGGGTGGTCTTCCTGCCCTGGTCCCTGGGGGGCAGCTGGGAGGCAGGATCATGCCGGTGACATATTTTCTGGCAGGTCCGGTCCCCTTGCCTGTGCTGAGCAGGTCTGGCCGCGGTCTCTGCAGGCTGTCCAGCCGTGCCGGTTCCCTAATTGCCGCTGTTGTTGGTGTTTTGTAAGGGCAGGGTGGAGCGGCACTCGGCCGTGCCTTGCGTCAGCGCGGTGCATGCACCCTCCCTCCAGGAAATCCAATGTCTTCGCCCGGCCAAAAGCAGGTTCGGTGGAGGAGGAGAAGGAGAAGGAGGAGGAGCTGCTTCCTCGCACCTTGGCCGGGGCCCCAGCATCACCCTCCCTCCTCTCCCAGCTTCCCTGAAAAGGCTGGGCTGGGATTTCCCTGCTGGAGGGGGAGTGGGGTGGGAGGGGGCTGGGGAGCTCCAAGGGAGGGGGACACGTGTGTCACAGGCAGGGTGTGGGGTCAGCTGTCACCCTGCCTGTGCAGGCAGCGCCTGGCACGGTGACCCAGGGCACTGGGCACGCTGCCTGCAGCGGTGCAGCCAGCCCCATGCTGGTTTTCCCTTGCTCTCAGCCCCGTAGCTTTTCCCTTGGCCCCCAAATCACCCATCTGGGAGGGCAGGGGGTCTGGTGAGTCCCTGTAAAGTCACCCTCCAGCACCAGCTCTTGGGGCTTTCCCCTGTTAGGGTGAGCTGATGGCAGCCCTGTGGGGCCCTGCTGGGTCCTGGGCTGGCACCGGGCTGCAGGGTCCCTGACACTGAGGTTTTGTGACACTGGGGGCTCCTGAGCTGCCACAGTGCTGAGGGGTCTGGGTTTGCTGTGGGGTCTGAGACCACTGAGGCCTTGGGGGGCTGCTGCAGAAACTGAGGAGTCTCAGGTTCCCCCATGTCTGGGGGTCCTGGGAGACCAGCCAGGGCTCAGCACCAAGGCAGTTTCACCCCATGGGGACACAGCCCTGATGCTCTGTGCTGTAGGGAGGAGTGAGGCTCCCCTGGGCCTGTCCCCATACACCACCCTCTCCATCCCTGTGTTCCCTGCCCTCCCATCCCCAAAACCCTGCGGGGTTTGCACCCTGCATCCCTGCCGGGGGTCACCCCCAGCAGCAGGCACAGCCGGGGTGCCCTGGCCCGTCCGGCACCACTGCCGCCATCCCTGCCTTGGCCGGCTGGCTCGATCCTACAATCCAGTTCTCCTTATTTGGCCACAGTGCTCAGCAAGAGGGGGAGAGGCGGCGAGGGGGGGGACGATGGGCGGCGGGACCGGAGGGGCTGACATCACATCGCGACGAGGGAGAGAGGAGGGATGGGGGGGCTAAGTTTCTTTTTTTATAAAAGGAAAAAAAAAAAAAAAAAAAAAAAAAAGAGGCAGCAAGCAAGGCCTCGCAGCGCACTTGAGCCAGCGGGCTCAGCAGTTCCTTTAAAAGGAGATGTCTGTGCCGGAGACCTTTGTACACTCCCAGCCCGTCCGGGAAGCGCGGCGGCGCAGGAGACACCTCTCCGCTCCCACCGCCGGCAGCTGCCGCCAAACATGTTATTGCAAAACACTGAAACGCTGCTGCGCTGGGAGCTGGGCAGGAGGAGGAGGAAGAGGAGGAGGGTTGAAGGCTCCCCAGCATCACCCACCAGCTGGGGAGGGCTCGGGGCTCCAGCTGAGCATCCTCAGGGTGGGGGGCCTCTCCTGGTACCAGGGGAACGCTGCTGGACGGCTCTGGCCACCTGGTTCCCATTAGTGGGGTCTGGCTTGGAGCTGCTCAGCATCTCCCTTCAGATCCCAGCTCTGCCTTTGCCAGGCATGGTGGAGCTGGGATTTTGGGGCCTAGGGGTGTTTTTTTGGCCAACTTGCCCAAAGAGACTGCTGTTTGGCAGTGGGTACTGGAGCAGGGTCAGGGTTCACAGGCTGTGGGGCTGCTGCCACCCTATCCTGAGGTGTCAGCCAGAAACACCATGTGCCCAAGTTCCTTGTATGGGTAATACAGTAGCTGGGGGCAGTTTCCTTCCCAAACTTTATTTGGGTGGATCCTGGGTGGTCACTTGTGGCTTGGATTTGGGGGTACTCATAGAAATCATGTTCTGCCCCCGAGGAAAGCCTGTTTGTGTGTCTGATGCCTTGCAATGAGATGCTGCTCTGGGTGCCACTGAGAGCAGGGCAAGGACCAGGAACAGACCTGGCACCACGCTGTCACTGCACCCCATGCCCCAGCAAGGCTTCCTGGCTCTGACAGGTGTCCCCTGTGTCCCAGCAGGTTGTCCCATATCCGTGGGGGCTCAGGGTCGGAGCCCAGAGCAGCCAGCACCATAGCGTCCAACAGCTGGAACGCCAGCGGCAGCCCTGGGGAGGGGCGGGAAGATGGCCAGGACGGCATGGACAAGAGTCTGGACAATGATGCCGAGGGTGTGTGGAGTCCAGACATCGAGCAGAGCTTCCAGGAGGCGCTGGCGATCTACCCACCCTGCGGCAGGAGGAAAATCATCCTCTCAGATGAGGGCAAGATGTACGGTGAGTGACGGGGGCGGGATGGAGGCACCGCACCGGCAGGGACAGCGGGGTCAGGGCTGAGCTGAAAAACCTCCTGCCCCAAACCCACGCTGGGGTATCGCCCTCGAGCATCCCCCAGCCCCGAAAGGAGCTGGCTCGGGTTCATCTGGAGCTGGACTGGGGAGGTGGCAGTGACCTGTGTCCCTCCCTCCCGCTCCCTCCCTCTCTCGGCCCTGCCGGACCGACTGGTTTGGTGAAGCCGTGGGGCAGGGAGCGGGCACGGGACTGTGGGGCCAGGGCAGCCCCAGCCCTCCTGCTCCCCTGTGCTTCCAAAAACCTCCCCAAACCTTCCCCAACCGGACCTGGTGGCCAGAGCACCCTGTGGCAAGGGTCACTCACCCACCCTGAGCCGCCTGCACCCAGCTCAGCTTTTGGTGACTTCACTGGTGGCAGCTGGGCTGGTCAGCCCCACTGGGGGGATGATTTTGGAGTGTCAGCCTAGTTTTTGGTGTCTTCCAAACTCCCTGTCCCTGCCAGGGGAGGGACTGGTACCTCCTGCCCTGCACAAACCATGATGTCACCCCCAAGGGCCAGTGACCTCAAAGTCAGGAGCAGGCTGCCATATTACCAGCACCCCATGGTGACAAGAGGACCAGGGCTGGCACCTCTGTCCCCAGCCTCCAAAATACACCTGCCCAGATGCTGCTGGCACAGCAGTGGCTCCCCCAGTGCCACTAGAGAGAGGCAAAAGGGACAAGCCTTGCTGGAGAGCACTGTGCCACTGTCCCCACACCCGTGGCACAGCTACCTGTGGCACCCCATTTGCCAGGGCCCGCCACCCACGGCGTGGGGGCTGCTGGAGGAGCGGGGTGAGGGGGAGGTGGAGGAGCCCAGGGCTTCCCAAGCGTGTGCATTTTTTGGATTTCTCTGGGAATAGCTGAAGTGCCGCCGGGAGCCTGGCCCTTCGAAGCACGCCCCAACCGGTTTTTCCAGCCTTTCAGAGACATCTGGCAGCTGCTTAAAGAGGCAGCAGCCCCTGCTGGCCTTTCATCTCCCCCCACCTTCCCCAGCACCTCCCCACTGGGACCCCCAGGACCCCGGGCTGGCATTACCAAGGGTACCAGGGGCACTGGCAGCACAAGGGATGCCAGCACACAGCATGATGGTGTGCCAGTGCCTGTGCTGTCCTTCGCCACCCCTCTTTTTTGGGGGTTCCATGGGTGCCCAGGCTGGTGCCAGCACTGCGGGGGTGGCAAAGCAAGGTGGGAGCTGGGGAGCCAGGACCCAGCACGGGCACACTGGGCCTTGCTCCACTGGGTTATTTTTAACCCAGCCTGTCCAACTGGTTCACGTGGTGGTGTCAGGGGAGAGGAATTTGGGGAATGTGGTAATTTGGAGGAGGACGTGCCCTCTCGGAGGGAATGGCACGGTCCAGATGAATCACAGGGAAAAGGGACAAGGGACAGGGCACGTGGGCACAGGGATGGCTGTGAGGGTGCAGCCCTGGGCATGGTGTGTGGCAGGATGGGTGCAGGAGATGCTGGCTCTGCATGCTGGGCACTAGGGCTGGCACTGGCTCTTCCTCCAGGAAGGCCCCACATTTCTCTCCTGTATTTTTTCCCCATATTTAATTCCCACGGGCAGGGTACGGGGGGCAGAGGATGGCATTCAAGAGCAGGGCATGCAAAGGGGGGGTTTGAAGGTGTACCCCCAAACTGGGGCTCAGCAGCAGGGTCCCTGCTGTGGGTGTCACCTCACCTGGGCTTGAAGGGCACCCTTGAAGACCTGGCCCCTGCTAGGTGCTAAGGAGGAGTGGGAGCTGTGCCTCAGGGTGCCACCAGGCTGTGCAAGGGGCACCCCCATTGTCACCCACCCTCCAGCTCCTGCCTGGCACGGGCACCCCAAGGGGCAGCTGTCTCTGCGTGCCACCTGGCCCTGTCTGTCCCCATGTGTGTGTCCCCCCAGGAGGGCCCAGTTGCTGTGGGGCTGGGAGGGGGCCAATCGGGGCGGAATGGGGGGGGTTGGGGGGTTGTATTTTTTTTTTTTTAAGGGATTTTTTTTTTTTTTTAATTCTTTTAAAGCTGAAACCCGCTCCAAGGGCATTTCGACAAGTTCCAACCGCGACCATCTGGTCCATTAAAATAAATCTGGCGTGCCTGGCTGCCCCCGTGCGCGGGGGGGTCCGGCGGGGGCCGGGGGGGCCGGGGCCGGGAGAAGAAAGCTCCCAGCTGCTCTGACGTTTGAACGTAGATTGGCCACAGCTGGCCCCTGAAATGTGGCGCAAAAGCAACTTCTGCTTCGAATTAGACCAGGACGTTAGGAAATACTGGTGGAAAGGCCAGCACGGCTTGTGAACGGGAAGCGGGGTGCCCGGGGGTGGGTGGGGGGCTAGCCCGGGACCCCCGCGGGCACGGCTGCCCGGGGTGGGCTCGCTGGCTGTGCTGGGGGCTGCCATGGGCTTCGAGGGGCTCTGTGGTGTGTGGTGGGGGTCCCTGGTGACTGTCACCTCGCTCTGAGCCCCGGGGCTGGTAAGGCAGCGGGGTGGGGGGGGGGGGCCCTGGCCTGGCCACCCCCGTGTCCCCGAGGTCGCCCCGGCGCTGTCGCGGCAGCGCCACCTCCCGGCAGCGCCTCCCTCGCCAGCGCGGGGGGCGCGGGGGTCCGGGGCTGCTGCCCCCCGTGTGCCCCGGGGCTGCTGCCCCCCGTGTGCGGGGCTGATACCCCCCTGGGCCGAGGCTGCTGCCCCCCGTGTACCCCGGGGCTACTGCCCCCCGTGTGCCCCGGGGCTGCTGCCCCCCCTGTGCCGGGGCTGATGCCCCCCATGTCCCCCCTGCGCCAGGGCTGCTGCCCCCCCTGTGCCGGGGCTGATGCCCGCCGTGTGCCAAGGCTGATCACCCCCGTGTCCCCCCGTGTGCCGGGGCTGATCCCTCACCCTGTACCGGGCTGATGCCCCCCCTGTGCCGGGGCTGGTGCCCCGCAGGGTCTGGGGCTGATGCCTGCTCTGTGCTGGGACTGATCCCCGCCGTGTTCCGGTGCTGCTGTACCCCCCTGTGCCGGGGCTGCTGCCCCCCGTGCCCCGGAGCTGATGCCCCCCGTGTCCCCCGTGTGCCGGGCCGATGCCCCGCAGGGTCTGGGGCTGCTGCCCCCACCTGTGCTGGGGCTGATCCCCGCCCTGTGCCGGGGCTGATCCCCGCCCTGTGCCGGGGCTGATGCCCCCCGTATCCCCCCTGTGCCGGGGCTGATGCCCCCCGTGTGCCGGGGCTGACCCCAGGCTCTGCCCGCAGGTCGTAACGAGCTGATCGCCCGCTACATCAAGCTGCGAACGGGGAAGACACGGACGAGGAAGCAGGTGAGGCGTTGCTCTGCTTTTTCTCCCGGGGTGGGCTCGGGGCGGGGTGGGAGGCGGTGCCAGGTAAGCCCGAGGGGGAGCGGATGTCCAGCTGTCATCTGTGTCCCCTCCTCAAGCCACCGCTGCTGCCAGCAGGTCCCCATCCTCTGCGAGGAGCTTCGTCCGTGAGCACAAATCCCCTGGGCTTTCCTCAGTCCCAGGATGAATTGAAATGGGGGGTGTGGGGGCAGGCAGCACCCGGGCCCCCAGCTGGTTGGGGTGACCCTGGGGGTGGCAGGAGCCCTCAGACTCTCTCTGGGCAGTGTGTGTGTGTCTGTGTGTGCCTGCATGGGTCTCTCCTGTGCCTTCTGCATCTGGGGACTGTTCCTATCTCTGCCCCGTGCTAGGCTTTATGCCACTTGAGCCACAGCAAAGGCACTCCAGACCCCATGGGTGAGAGCAAGGCATCCCCATGCCAGCCAGGGATGCAGGGACAGGCTGTGTGGAGCTGTGGTGCTGGTCCTGCTGGGGCTGGAGGTACCACGGAGCCCTTGCCCTGCTCTCACTGCCCTGCCTGGCTGGATGCTGGGGCAGGCAGGGATGCAGGCAGGGCACACAGAGCTCCCTGCAGGGGCACACAGAGGTCCCTGCAAGCCCTTGCTTCACCAAACCTGTCTGAGGAGTGGGCTGCTGCAGCCCTCAATGGGACATGTCCCTTGTCATGTGTCCAGTGGCTCTTCCCTCCCCTCGTGGTGGTCCCCAGGCCACCCATCCAGGCAGAGCCCATGGCCTTGGAGCATCCCGCACCACAGGGAGATCGTTGGGTTTGGGACACTTATTCTGGGACTGTCCTGTGCCACGAGTCCCCACAAGAGAGGGATGCTGGTCCCCAGCACTGAAGAGGTCATTCCTCCAGGACTTACGCTGAAAGGAGAGGGACCAGGGTCTGGCCACTGGTTTTGTGTTCAGAGCAGTGCCAAGCAGCACTTCATTTCTGGATTAAACACTTAAGTGGGCCCCCCCTCCATGGGGGGAGGGTGCAGTGTTCTGGGGAACTCGGGAAAGCCATGGAGAGAGCACTCACAGCACTGATCCCTCTGAGCAGTCGTCTCCTGGGCAGCCTGGTGTCGGCTCTTGGATAGCCTGGCACTGGTAGGAGCAGGTTTTTGCCAAAATCAGCCCTGAAGCATGGATGCATGGATGCCCACCCTTCCTGTGGATGGCCCCCCAGCCTTGCTGTGCCTTTACTGCCTGGACATCAGCCCCTTTTCTTTAGATCTTGCTCTTACAGGGGCCTGGACACAAAAATCCAACTTTCTTACCTTTCCCACATGCAAAACCAGCAGGAGCCCTGGGGCAACGTGCCAGTCCCTCCTGGACCCACAGGCCCCACCGAGGAACCCAGGGCACCTCAAACCTGCCAGGCTTATGGTGCTGGCAGGGTCTGTCTGTCCATTTGTCCCCAAGAAGTGATAAATGGGGACCCACCCCCTCAACTGCAGCAGCTTTACACCAAGGAGCTTCACCCCAGGGCACCTCAAACCTGCCAGGCTTATGGTGCTGGCAGGGTCTGTCTGTCTGTCTGTCCCCAAGAGATGGTAAATGGGGACCCACCCCCTCAAGTGCAGCAGTTTTACACCAAGAAGCTTGACCCCAGCGTGGGGTGGGCACAAACCAGCATCAACCAGCACCGGGGTGCCCCCACCACTTTCCTTCCTGCAGCTCTTGGCGGGTGCAGGACCCTGAGCACCTCCGGGCGCAGCCGAAGCGCTGCCCCGCTCCTGCACTCCCTGCCCCGGGGACAGAGCCCGCCCTGCAGGGGGAACACATCTTCACACTGTCTGTGTTTTCCTTTCCGAACGGCGTGGCGGGCGCTAGGTGTCCAGCCACATACAGGTTCTAGCTCGGAAGAAGGTGCGGGAGTACCAGGTTGGCATCAAGGTACGTTGGCGCCCTTGCCCAGGTGTCCGCGGCGGTGTCTCTGTGAGCATGGGCAGCCCCTCTCCTTCCTCCTCCTTTCCTCTGGTTGACGGCTCTGCTGTTCCCCCTCTCCTTCTGCTCTCTCTCTGCAGGTCTCTAGCCACTTGCAGGTTCTTGCCCGACGGAAATCTCGTGAGATTCAGTCCAAGCTGAAGGTACGCCCTGCCTCGCCTGGCCCCCGCCTGCTGCCGGCTAACGCACTGGGCTCTGCGGTGTGCTGCTTGCTTTCCTGTTTTACCTCTCTTTTTTTTTGGTGTTTTTTTTTCTTCCCCCTCACTTGGCTCCTTGGGTCAGACGGTTTTTACAGGCATTGTTGTGGGATGCCCAGAGGGAGGTGTAAGGAGGGGAGCAGAGCTCTGCTCTTTCCTCCAGCAGGGTGAATGTGGTGCCAAATCCCCTCTTTGCGTCCAGGCAAGGACTCTGCCGTGAGGAGATGTGAGTTTAAACCCTCCTCTGGTGATGTGTGAGGGCTGCCCCATCTTTTGGTCCTCCCACAAGGAGAAGGGTCCCCCAGGACAGCCAGTGAGGCAAAGTGAGGTTCAAGCAAGGTGTGCCAAGACCCACCCTCCTCCACCCCTGAGCCTGACCCAGCTCAGAGCTGGTGCTGGTGTGATGTGGGCAGAAGCAGGGGGGCCCCAGGGGTCCCTGCAGGCTGCCAGCCCAGTGGCTTGTGATGCACCAGGGTGTGAGCACTGCCAGGGGCACGACGGGGATGTGAGTGGCAGCGGGTCCAGCTGGGGCCATGCTGCTGGGGACAAGGGCACGGTGCCAGGAGCCAAGGGAGCCAAGTGAGAAAAAAATGGATCATTCTCTCTCTCTTTTCTGGTTGGCTTTTCTTTTCTTCCTTCCTTCTTTCCTTCCTCCTAACTGGAGCCAAACTAACCTTTCCATAACTGTTCCCACCAAACCTTGTGGTGGCAGTGGGGAGGGTGGTGATGGGGGGGCATGGCCAGCACTGAGGGCATCACCAAAGGACCAAGCCCTGCTTGGGCTGGACCCACATGATGTCAGGTGGGGCACAGAGAGGTCCTCAGTGCACAGCCACCCCCTGGGAACAGCAGCTCCTGCCATGTGCCTCAGTTCATCTCTGTCACACCAGGAGCAGCTCCTTGGGTAGCCCCAGGGGTGATTTGCTGCCTTGCTGTGTGAGTGGGAGCCCAGGAAATCTTTCAGCCTGATGACCCTGAGGTCCCAAAGGCATCACCAGCTCCCCTGTCCTGGGTGCTGTGTCCATGGCCAGCACTGAGGCTGGCAGTGCAGGCCACTGTCACAGTTGGCAGCGAGGGACTGTCAGAGCTGGGGCATTCTCATCCTCAGAGCCTTAATAAACTCCAGCTCATGCTGCCTGGGAGCCCACCAAGATGTGCCCCCCAGAGACCTTCAGCAGGGACCCCAGTGCCCCACAAGGGGGATGCCAGGAGGGCTCCCACAGCCAGACCAGGGTTTGGTCTGCTAGGAGAAGCCGGGGAGAGCATCTGAAACTTATTTTGGGATGCTCCTTTGGGCTTGTATGCCTTAAACCCAGTCTCCAGCCCCAAGAGGAGCAGTCAGGGAAGTGAGGGGAGCAGGTAGCAGGGTCAACAGCAGCAGAAGACTTTAGAAAATAAAAATAAAATAAAATCTTTCCTTGCCACATAGCACAGTGAAGATCAAGGGGAAGTTGGAGGCTGGAGTGACCCCAGGGGTCCATCCCCAGCCATGCTGCCTGCAGGATTCTGGCATGGAGCAGCCAGGGCAGAGATCCCCCTGAACAATACTTGAGTATACAGAACATCCCTTCTCAAGATCAGTGCAGGCAGCCCCCTGCCCTCAGCCACCACTGTGGGGTGACCCATGTCCTGTGGGATGAAGACGCTTCCATGAGCAGTATCTGTATTTTTGAGCTGCAGTATTTGTATCATTTTTGAGCTGCAGTATCTGTATTTTTGAGCTGCAGTATCTGTATTTTTGAGCTGCAGTCAGGTGTGTGTTTGTGCTCCTGGCATGTGGCTGCACGCCCGCCCTCCTGCCCTACCCCAGGTGAAAATAAATGAAGCATTGATCCCTGGGGAAGGTTCAGAGGGAAAGCAGAGGGTGTGCTCTGGGACCAGCATGAACGTGTCCTAGCAATGCAAGTGGAGGAGCAGCCCTGCTCCAGGCCAGACCTGGGAGCCTGGAGCTCCTGCCCAGCAGTGCTGTGACTTTTGCAGCAAAAGGAAAAAGAATTGGTCTCCTCTGTCAGTGCACACACAGCACCGGGGGTGAGCTCAGGAGGCTGTAGAGGATATTAAAAAGCCAAGAAAGGCACAGGCCTGGCTCACCAGTGACCTCTTGAAAGAGTGGATGGGGGACTTTGGCATCCCATTCCTGGTGGGATTAAGCCTGGGCATCAGTGGCCACCGTGTGCATCCCTGGTGAGCAGCCAGGTCAAGGGCTTCACTCCCCAGGTCGGGCTGTGGTGATGAGCCAGGATGGGGATGGTGATGAGCCAGTTGTGCTGGTTTCACCTGGGGTAGAGTTAATTCTCTTCACCCCCATGCCTGTGTTCTGGAGAAAATTAGCTCTGCCCCAGCTGACACCAGCAGCAAGTTAGGGGAGGTGTACACAGTGCCCAAAGGTTCCCATGACACTCTAACCTTTTTTTTTTTCCTTTCTTTTGCGGACAGGCCATGAACTTGGTAAGTTGAGCTTGTCTCTGAAATTCCTTCTGTTCCCCATTGCATTGTGCCCTCTCCAGTGGAGGGGCTAAAAACCCTTCACATCCCCAAGGGGGGAGGGCCACCAGCAGCAGTGGGAGGGGGCATTTTCCAGAGCCATCAGCTTTTGCCCAGAGGATATTGGCAAGCTTCAGATGTTAATTAATGTTTGGGAGGGGGTGGGGGATCCCTCTGCACTGGTCCCAGGCTGGGCTGTGGGATTGGCTGCTGGCTTTACAAGACCTGTCAGGCACGCTGGGATTGAGGCAGCTCAGTCTGCCCCTATAACCCTGCTTCCCTCCTGTCCCCCCTTTTCCCCTCAGGACCAGGTCTCGAAGGATAAGGCTCTGCAGAGCATGGCTTCCATGTCCTCGGCGCAGATTGTGTCAGCCAGCGTCCTGCAGAACAAGCTCAGCCCCCCTCCTCCTCTTCCTCAGGCCGTTTTCTCTGCTGCCCCCAGGGTGAGGACAGCCCCACGCCCCCCACACGGGGACAGCCCGGGGTGGTGGGGACACCATGAGCCACCCATGGGGCAGGGGGATGTTCAACAGCCTTTCTCAGCCCTGGTAGCAATGCAGGGCTCCCTGCTGTTTGCAGCAGGTGAGGAGGGAAGTGTTGGGAGTGGGGAGAGTCAGAAGCCACTGACTCTTCCCTGTGCTGTTTTCCCAGTTTTGGAGTGGGCCTATCCCAGGACAGCCTGGACCCTCTCAGGAGTAAGTACAGACCCCTCCACACCTGGCACCAGCAGGACCCCGCCTTGGCAAGGGGCTGGGGCATCCCGGGCTTGGTAAGCTGATGATGCTTTTTCCTTTCCAGCATTAAACCGTTTGCACAACCAGCTTACCCCATCCAGCCACCCATGCCTCCATCACTAGCCAGTAAGTCATGTCCTTACTCCCTTGGAGGGAACCCAGTGTCCCTGCCAGAGTTTGTCCTCTGCCCCCTGCCACGCACGGTGCCACCCACCTGTGTCTCCTCCCCAGCTCTACTGGGGGAAAATCCTGAGCTGAAACCGAGCAAAAAGCTCCCCAGTGAGCAGGACCCTCCAGTCCCTTCTCACCCAGTACACCCCACGTTTTACCCACCCTGTGCTGGGAGGGAGGTGGATATGGCAGGTGGGGGCTGCCGTGGGGACAGCAGCACTGCAGGGGGGGCTCACCCCGGCTCCTGGCTGTCCCTCCACCCCCGTGTCACTCCCCCTGGCCCAGGTTACGAGCCCTTGGCTCCGCTCCCGCCAGCTGCCTCGGCCGTGCCGGTCTGGCAGGACCGCACCATCGCCTCCACCAAGCTCCGGCTCCTCGAGTACTCCGCCTTCATGGAGGTGCCCCGGGATGCTGAAACGGTAAAAAATCCCCTCCGTGTGCCCACCACCCGCCCGGCACGGTGGCCCATCCCTCCCCGTGCCTGGTGGCGCCTTGCTCCTGCCTGACGTGTCGTGCTGCTGTCCCCACCCCGCTCCCTACAGTACAGCAAACACCTCTTCGTGCACATCGGCCAGACGAACCCCTCGTACAGCGACCCCCTGCTGGAGGCCGTGGACATCCGCCAGATCTACGACAAGTTTCCCGAGAAGAAAGGCGGCCTCAAGGAGCTCTATGAGCGTGGGCCCCAGAACTCCTTCTTTCTCGTCAAGTTTTGGGTATATATATATTATTTCTTTTTTGTTGAGATTTGGGTGTAACCCTCCTCCTGCTGGGAGGGTTAGGGTGGGGAGGGTCGTGCTCGAGCTACAGGCTCGTTGAGGGTCAGGGGCTCTGCTGGCAGAGCTGGAGCATCCTGGGCAGCTCTGAAAGCTGGTGTCCCTCGTCCCCATCGGGAGCTGGGTGTGGTGGTGCCTCATGGGACCCTCTGTCCCTCTGCTCTCTTCAGGCGGATCTGAACAGCACGATCCAGGACGGGCCAGGGACCTTCTATGGTGTCAGCAGCCAGTACAGCAGTGCAGAGAACATGACCATCACAGTCTCCACCAAGGTGTGCTCCTTTGGGAAGCAGGTCGTGGAGAAGGTGGAGGTGAGTTCCCTATCCCGCTGCATCGGGAACGGGTCGGAGTTGGTCCACGGCGGGTCCTGGGATGGAGAAAATCCCAGAGCTGGGTGTAGGACACATGGGTGCCTGTACCATGTTTATGGGTGGAGTGGAGAGGACATTGCCATGTCCCAGTTGGGCACCACCAGGCAGGGGACAGCTGCTCACCCTGCTGTCCCCCGCAGACGGAGTACGCGCGGCTGGAGAACGGCCGCTTCGTCTACCGCATCCACCGCTCTCCCATGTGCGAGTACATGATCAACTTCATCCACAAACTCAAGCACCTGCCAGAGAAGTACATGATGAACAGTGTCCTGGAGAATTTCACCATCCTGCAGGTATACCTCCCCTCCTTTTCCAGGGGGTGTGTCCCACCAGGAGTGTGGAGCCCACACTTGGATCGACCCCGCTGGCCCCGCACAGACCTGGCTGTGCCTGGGCCCACACAGACCCTGGATTCCAGGGAGCAGATCTGGGTGGTGCAAACAAAGTGGCTGTGCCCAAGCCTGGACAAGTCTACCAGATAATAGGGAGCAAAATTTTCATGGTACAATTAAATTGGCCATGCCTGAGTTTGTTTGACTTCACCAAATAACCTGTAGCAGTTTTTGGTGGTACAAATGCAGTGGCTGGGCCTGAGCCAATTCAACCTCCCCCAGACAAATTTTTGGTGGTGCAGTTCGGGCTGTTCCTGAGCCTGTGCAACATCCCCAAAACTCTGTAGTAAATCTTGACGGTGCAATTAAATTGGCTGTGCTACTGCCTGTGTGACCCCACAAATAACGGGTAGCAAATGTTTTCGTGGTGCAAAGCGGCTGTGCCTGAGCCCAAAATCTGCAACTCCCCCCAGGTAGCATCACCTGCCCACGGGCACAGCACTCCCCTAACACGCTCTGCTCTGCTGCAGGTTGTTACCAACAGGGATACCCAGGAAACCTTGCTCTGCATTGCCTTCGTTTTCGAGGTGTCCACCAGCGAGCACGGCGCCCAGCACCACGTGTACAAGTTGGTCAAGGACTAGGGGCCCTTGGGGACAGGCAGGGGCACGAGGGGCCTGCAGGGGAGGGAGGGGGCCCTGCAGAAAAGCCACCCGTGCCTGTTTGCCTTGTGAGAAGTCATTTGAAGACAGGAGGAGGAAGAAAAACAATAGCCAAAAAAGACTGACTTGTGATGATCGCAGATGTTTTCTACTTAGGAACAGTTTTTTTTTTTTCTTTTTTTTTCTTTTTTTTTCTTTTTTTTTCTTTTTTTTTCTTTTTTTTTCTTTTTTTTTCTTTTTTTTTCTTTTTTTTTCTTTTTTTTTTTTAAAAAAAAAAAAGAAAAAAAAAAGGAAAAAGAAAAGAAGAATGGGAAAGGAAGTGTAGGGAGAAAGGAAGCCCACATCTGGTGCTGGAGGGGGAGAGAGCAGCCCTCGGTGTTGCTGATGGAGGCCAGGATCCCAGCGTGCCAGCAGCAGGACGAGGAGCAGAGGAGGAGCCCTCCTTCCAGCCCAGCCTGGCTCAGAAGTGGTCCTGAGTGGAGAGGAGAGCAGCGAGCACTGACGGTCAGGAGGATGCAGCACCGTGCCAGGTCTGAAACTGATGGGCATGGCAGCGGCAGCGGCACCGGCAGCGCCTGGCACAGCCCGGGGGGACGGGGGGACGGACGGGCAGGGTGGAGCAGGGGGACACTGCCACCCCCAGGGATGCTCCTTCTCCACGCCCTGGGAACCACTGAAGGCATGAGGGCATTGACAATGCAAACCACGGGGGTTTATGGCTCCTTTTTTAACTTTTTTTTTTTTTTCTTCTTTTTAATGAAAGTGCTTTTTAATACTTTTTAAAAAGACACCATGCTTGTAATCAGGCTGACGGCCCTCTGCAGTGCCCAGGGGCTGCCCTCCCACCCTGCATGGGAAGTGTCTTGTTTAGGGAAAGGTTTGGGGTGCCTCCGTCTCTGGCTGGGTTTTGTGGGGGATTCCTTGTGCTGTGTTCAGGAATTGCACTTGGGGCTGGCCCAGGCTCAGTGTCCCCACTGTGGCTGCTTGCTGGGGAGTCATGAGTACAGAGCAGTGAGGGCAGATTGCCTGATTTATTTTGTGTATGTACATTTTCCTTGTTTCTTTTTTTTTTTTTTTTTTTTTGTTCCTTCACCTTTTTTTTGCCTTTTTTCTGCGATGACTGTTCCAAACTGCTCCAGCCACTCTCCTGCATCCTGCGGGAAGTGGCCAGGGAGGTGCAGGGAAAAACATTGAGCAATGCAGGGCCAAGAGTTTGGGACAGAAAGGACAGAGACAGAGAGGGGACAGAGACCAGGAGGGGAGCCAGGAGAAGGGACTGGGTCAGCTTGGAGGTATTTTTGTGGCTGCAGCCCAAAGTAAACCAAGGCAGAGTGCCCAGTCCTGAGGCTGCAACTGCAAGGGCAGAGTCTGGGGAAAGCAACCCCGGGCTGCAGGAGGGTCACAGAGGGACAGAAGTGGAGGGGAGCAGGGTGGCAGGAGGCTGGCAGGGGGACAGAGAGCCCGGGGTGGCCAGGTCTGGATGGGTTTCTCATGTTGGCAGGGGAGTGAAGGCAGTGGGAAGGAGGCAGGAGTGTTTTGAGGGGCACTGCGGCTGCTTTGGGAGGGGGACAGGGCAGGGTCAGGCTCAGTGCAGGGAGCAGGAACAGCCCCAGAGCTCAGGAAGGTGCCTTGGCTGCTGCCTTGATGCCACGTGTCCTGTGAGGCATGGGGACTTCGACCTCTTGCTGCTGGGAAAAGCCACCCATCCCTGAGGGAAGGAGCAGAGCCATCCCAGCCCCGGGCCAGGCTCAGTGAGCAGGGCAGACGGAGCAGGGAGGGAAAGAAAGAGGGAAAAATCCAAGGCCAGGCACTGGCAAACCATGCCAGGGCTGTGCTGGGCCTCTCTGGCCAAGTTCTCATATGTAGCATGTTTGTTTGTTGTTTTGTAGGTTTTTGGGGTTTGTTTTTTTTGGTTTTTTTTTGTTTTTTTTTTTTTCCTTCTGTTTCACTCACTGATCTAAAACTCTGGGAATGAAAACTCAAAACTCCCCCACCATAAACCACAGGCGTGTGCCCACTCCCAGCCCTGATGGGGGACGAAGCTCTTTGTTAACTGGACCGGTTTGTGCCTCCATCCCTCCCTCCCTCCTGCCTGCACCGAGCCCAGGGCTCACCCTGCACCCCACGCACACAGACTGCTGCCCCCAGCAGCCCTGGCTGGGGTTTAGTCATGATCCCAGAGACACTTTCTCAACTCCCCCAGCCCCTCCGTTCGCCTCCAGTGTATTTATGAATTTCACATGAAGTACTGTTTTATTTTTTTAAAGACTTTGTAAAGCTTACCAGGGTTACAATCACCATTTTTAGAGCTGCGTCAGTCCACAATGTTAAAAATCCATTTTTTTTATGTATTATATTTTTTGTGTATTTTTTTTTAATCCAGCTGTGATGGGTTGTATCATATATTTGTTGTGTTTACTGTATCTGTCCAACTTCAAAGAGAGGAGACTGTGGAGCTCCAAGAAAACTACGGTCTGCTGAAAAAAAAACCATTAAAATTATTTGTTCATGGGTTGGCTCAAACAGTTCTGAAGTTCCTTTTTTTTATTTCTTGGGATTTCCTTCAACAGCCAGGACCCCTTGGCTGGGACCCCAATTCTGGGTACCAGGATGCTGCATCCTGCTGTGTTTTGCTCTAGTTTGCATCACTGCTGCAGGATTTGCTTGGGAAAAGTTGGGTTGGCCACGGCAGACGCTTCCCCGCAGCATCCCTGGGTTCAGGAACACTTTTAGGGGGTCGCACGCTCCACCACAGGGTGACCGAGGGGATGCTCTGTCCCACCGCTCACCACCACCCCTGCAAGCCCTGCTCGCGGTGTCTCAGCTGTTGGTCACACACCCCATCCTCCACTCAGGGACACTCGTGTTTCACCAGCAGCCGCTTCCCCCGTCCTGCGAGCCGCCCGCACCCCGCTATTCTTCCCGCACCCCGCCATCCCCCAGCACCCCGNGTTCCCTCCACCCTTCCCGGCCCCATTCACCCCCCCGGCCCCGGTCCCGGTCCTGCCCCTTCCGCCCCGCTCCGCTGCCTGCCGGGACGCGTAGTCCCGCGGCCCCGCGCCGCTCCCGGCCCGCCGCAGGTCCGCTCTCGGCCCCGCCGACCGCTGCGCGCCCCGCTGCTCCCGGTCCCGTTCCTCCCGACCCCGTTCCTCCCGGTCCCGCTGCTCCCGGTCTCGTTCCTCCCGGCCCCGTTCCTCCCGGCCCCGCTGCTCCCGTCCCGTTCCTTCCGACCCCGTTCCTCCCGGCCCCGTTCCTCCCGGCCCCGCTGCTCCCGGTCCTGCTCCTCCCGGCCCCGTTCCTCCCCATCCCGCTGCTCTCGGTCCCACTGCTCCCGGTCCTGCTCCTCCCGGTCCCGTTCCTCCCGGCCCCGCTGCTCCCGGTCCCGCTCCGCCTGTTGCTCCGGTGCCCTCCCCGCTCCTCCTGCAGCTCCTCCGGTTCCCCGCTGCCGCCCCCGCTCGTCCTGCGGCTCCGCTCTTCCTGTAGCTCCGCTCCTCCTACTGCTCCGCTTGCCCGCTTGTCCCGCTCCCGTCCCCGCTCTCCTGTTTCCTGTGTCCCCGCTCTCCTGTGTCTCCGCTCCTGTCCCCGCTCTCCTGTGTCCCCGCTCCACCTGTTGCCGCTGTCCCGCCGCTGTCCCGCTGCCGTCCCCGCCGCAGCCCTCGGGGAGCGGGGAGCGCCCCTGGGGGCTCGGCCTCGCTGGAAGCCGCCGGCATTAATTAACGCGGCTCAGGAACGGGATGAGCCCGCCGGGGAATCCCGCCGGGGCAGGCAGAGCTCGGCTGCCCGCACCGCTATCCTGGAGCTCCGGGACTGCTCTTTTTAGCTTCTAAACCGGAAATTAGACAATCGCACGGGGTCAGGCAGGGGGGAAGCGGTGCTGGCGGAGAGCTGGGGCTGCTCCGGAGCTGCTGGCTCCGCCGGGGTTTGGGGTCCCGAGAAGGATCCGTGGGCTTCCCGAGTGGGGAGGTGCGTGACTGTGTTCCATGGCCGTGCCTCGCAGCTCCACTTTGAACCCAGGATGAAAGTCCATCCTGGAGCACAACTCACTGACAAGGCAGAGGGCTTGAGCCCTGTAGCCCATCCCTGGCCCACCAGTGTCCCCAGCCACTGGATGTAGGGTCCCATGGGTGCTTTGGGTACATGGATCCCTGTATGGGGACAGTTTAGGGTTCGGGATGGTCCTTGTGTGCAGGAAAGGCCTGGAGCACCCCAAGCATTTTCCTTCCTTCCTTTGCCTCGGCTCAGCCCTTCCGCCTTCCCAGCCTGGCTCCTTGGCTCTGTCCTGCAGCCTGCACTGGCTCCCACTCCTGCCCGCTCCCTGCAGGTCCCCGCTCTGCCCGGCGCTGCCCGCTGACCCCACAGAGCCGGGATGGAGGGAGAGCCCACCCTGCGCCTCCGTATCTTCAACCTCAACTGCTGGTGAGTCCAGGCTTGGCCAGGTCCGTGCCAGTCTGTGTGTGGGGAGATGGGGGCACCACACTGGGGGTGGGGTCCCACCTTGGGATTAACTTCGTGGCCCCTTCATTTTGGAGTCACACCACTCTCTCTGCCCCAGAGGGTCATGAGGTGCTTGGCTGGGTAGTGCCTCCTGTCCCTTCCGTGCTTGTTAGCCCCAGAAAAACCCCCCATTTGCACCCCAAGCTGCCTCAATTCTGCAGGCAGGAGAAGCTGTCCCCAAACAGCCTCCCTGCATCTTGTCCCTATGTCCTCACACAGCCCTTTCCCCTTCCCATCTTTCCCATTTGCTTCTGCTGGTACTGGAGCCCTGTTTCCCTCCCTCGTTTCGGGTCACAGTGGCCCCAAGAGCCCTCATGACCCTGTCCCCACCAGGCTTTGACTGTCACTCCTCTCTGGCAGGGCCATCCGCTACCTGAGCAAGCGGCGGCAGCAGCGCGTCCGGCTCATCGGGGACACGCTGCGCCAGGAGGGCTTTGACCTGGTGCTGCTCCAGGAGGTGAGGGCAGTTGGAGCCAAGTGCCCATTCCCAGCCTGGGAGATGGGCATGACTGTTCTCAGCCTGTCCGTCTGTCCTCCAGGTGTGGAGCGAGCAGGACTACAGTGACCTGAAGGTGAAACTAGCAGGCTGTTATCCCTTCTCCCATTACTTCCGCAGGTGAGAAGGGCAAGGTCAGCCCCCCGGGGCTGTCTGTGGGGCAGTGCCAGGGCTGTGCCATGTCCTTGGGGTTTGCCACTTGCAGAGATTGCTACAGGTCCTCTGTTGCTGTGGGAGACCCCATGCCTGGGCAGTGGAGTGCCCACAGGAGCACACTGGGATCCAGGAACCTGGGGGGTCGTCCTGGCCCAGGGCTAGGGCGAGGCAGAGGTTTTGGGGTCTCCTCACTGTGCTTCTTCCCTCCACAGTGGGGTGATCGGCAGTGGCCTCTGCGTCTTCTCCAGGTTCCCCATTCTGGACACGCTCCTCTACCAGTACTCACTGAATGGGTACCCCTACATGGTAAGTGGGGTGGGGGGCACGTGGCACCATGGTGTCCATCCCCACGGAGCCTCGGTAGCCCTGACCTGCCCTTTTTCCCCTTGGGCAGCTCCAGCACGGGGACTGGTTCTGCGGCAAGTCCGTCGGTCTCGTCATTATGAAGATCTCAGGGATCATCTTCAACGTCTACGTCACCCATGTGAGCAACCCAGGGAGGAGCCCAGCATGGGGGGAACAATGGGGAGGAGGGGAATGAGTGGCCATACTCCTGTTTTACTGTTCCCTTGCTTTAACCCTGCTCTCCACCCTCTGCCCTGGACTATGCACTGATTTAATAAAATATTGCTCGGGGCAGGGACCCATAACTTGGTTGTGCACTGGGGTGAGCATCCCATGCTCTCCCCAGTGGGGGTGAAATAAAGACAGAGGTGTTGGCAGGGGCTGTTTGGAGGGGTTGGGTGGGTTTGCAAGGGGCCTGGGAGCAGGGCAGGAGTCACAGCCCCTTTGCTTTCCCTCTCTCTCCAGCTGCACGCCGAGTACTGCCGGGACAAGGACGCCTACCTGCCCCACCGCCTGGTGCAGGCCTGGGAGCTGGCACAGTTCATCCGGTGAGCAGCCGTGGGGTGTCCCCTGCAGGCCCCCAGGACACTGTGGTCACCCCTGCCCCTGGGGCTTGCACTGCAGAGAGCTCCCATTTGCACCAGTCCCAGTCGGGAATAAGGTGGAGCAGCACTGGGCAGGTCCCAGTCACTCCAGTCGGGTGCCAGGCAGGGCAGGCAAGGACAGCCACCCCTGTCCCCACAGACACACCTCAAAGGCAGCAGATGTGGTGCTGCTGGGAGGGGACCTGAACATGCACCCTGAAGATGTGGGCATCCGGCTGCTGCGTGGCTGGACGGGGCTGCAGGACGCCTTTGCTGAGGCCATGCACTTTGAGGTGAGCTGAGGAGCTGAGAGGGGTCCCAGGGCACACCAAGAGCCCCCAGCTCAGCCAGGCTCTTGTCTCAGGGCTGTAAGAACGGCTGCACCCTTGTCCCTGACAACTGCTTCACTGACAAGGCAGAGCTGCTGCCCTTCCCGCTGGGCATCCGCATTGACTACATCCTCTACAAGGTAACTACACTGACTGCATCCTCTACAAGGTAACAGGAGTGTCTGCCCGCCAGCTGTGAGTGCTGGGGGTGAGGCACTGCTGTGACCCCCTTGTCCCCTCCCCCAGGCCATCTCCAGCTTCACGGTGAAATGTGAAGAGCTGAAGACCACCACGGGGCGAGCCCCAGGCGTGGACATCCCCTTCTCAGACCATGAAGCTGTGATGGCAACACTGCACATCCAGAGGCAGGGACAGCCTGCAGGTGCCACCCTTGGCACAGCTGGTGAGTCGGGGGGCTGCTGCCAGCATCCGCTGTGTGCTGGGGGCTGGTGGAGTCGGATGGAGCTCTTTGGGGATGTTGTGCTCTGTGGTGCTGCTTGTAGAGGGCTGCAGAGCACTGGGGATGGGGAGAAGGGTATTGGGGTGTTATGGGGAGTGTAGGGATGGTACGTGGGGGTCTCACCCTGCTGGGGGCCGCTGTCCCCACAGACCTGGCACTGGCAGACGTGGTGACAGAGGCACGGACAGAGGTGGGCGTGGGGCTGCAGGCGGCGCGGCGGCAGCGCTACTCCTCGGGCAGGATGGCCGTGCTGGCCCTGCTGCTGCTGCTGCTCCAGGCTGCAGCTGCACTGGCCACACTGGCTGGACTGGGCACAGATCAGCCCTTCCCCAAGCTCTCCTTCTGCCTGCTGGCCTTCCTCGCCCTCGGCGTCCTCGTCCTCGCCACCGGCCTGCACCTGTTTCACACCATGGAGGTGAAGATGCTGCACGGCACCGAGGACCAGATGTGGATGGTGCTGCGGGCCCTGCAGGAGCGTCCCAGTGAAGGCTGAGCTGAGGCTCTGGGTGTCCCACAGTGTCCCCTTGCCCACACCACGTCCCCTTTTTCATCCTTGTTTTTAGCTGACTTCAGGTCTTAGGCGAGCAGCACTGCAGCCAATGCAGTAGTGCAGGTTTGGCAGCTGCCTCTGGGTGAAATGAAGGTTTTTGGGGTAGATTTATTGCATTGACCCCTGTGAGAACCACAATGGAGGCAGATTTTTATTGATGTCTTTTTAAATACACTCTTTTGTACATGGAGGGACCCACTGGCCTGGCTGGAAGGCTTGAGACACTGAGGCTCCCCTTGCCTGGGGTGGCCTCAAAGTTTACACTGGTGGCTGTTCTGGCAACCAGTCCTGACTGATGGAAAATAAAGGCAATATTTTAATCTTTGGCACCCGGTCAGGGGGGCTTTATTTGAAGGGAGGGGGTTTGCAGCAGGATTGTAGGGCTGCTACAAACACAGGGAGGGTTGGAGGAGGTGCTGAGGGGAATGGCAGGATGAAGGCTGAGCACAGGGTGGTGTTGATAAGAGAGGAACCTATGCCTGGGACCCCCATCCCAACACATCTGGGCTGCCATGAGCACCATTTGGCCACAGAGGCAACAGCCAGGGACTCCAGGGGCATCTAAGGCCAGCGTGGCATTGCCAAGCAGAAGAAATCCCAAAGGGGCAAGGAGGGCACAGCCACTGGTGTCCCTTGTCCTCGTCCTGAGCACAATTCCCATGGGAGCTCCTGGACAAAAAGCCCTTCCCTGGCTCAGGGGGCTCGTGGTAGGGTTCTGACCCTGGTTTCCTGCAGCAGCTGGGGACAGCATGGACGTGGCATCCAAAAGCAGTGGTGCAGAGCAGCTGAACCAGCCCAGTCTGTCTGTCACTGGCCCCAACTTGTACAGCCAGATGTCCCTTGAGATGGACAGTCCAGACGGGCATGGACACCCTCAGCTGGGAAGGATGTCCCAGGGTGGCTTCGAGGGACCATTCTTGAAGGTGCCCCTGCACAAATGGCATCTGCCTCTGGTGGCCATTCCCTCCTTGCTGCTGGGAGCCACCACAGCCCCCTTTTGCAGTCCCCTGCGAGTCTTGTTTTCCAGGCAGCACAAGGCAAAGGCACTCCAGCCATGCACAGGATGCCCTCTCAGCCCCCCAAGGCTGAGTGCTTCTCGCGTGGGCATCCACCAGCGGGTCTGGCCCCTCCGTGACAGATTTGGCAAGCAGGGAGCTGGATTTGCTGTAGCAGCTGCTGGCACCTGGGGCATTGCCACCTCCAGAGGTAGCTCAGGGTGGTGCTCAGCCCAGGACTCACTCACTCACACTCTGCTGGTCCCTGGGGAGGACCTGGTGGCCCCAGGGCCGTGCGGGTCAAGCCCGCAGCTCACTGAGCCGCTTCTCCTCCTGCAGCTGGATGAGGACATTCCGCTTATTCACCACCTCCACCAGCTGCTTCAGGATGTCCTGCTCAGCCTTCTCATCCTCAGGTGTCTTCAGGGCATCTGTGGGAGCAAGGGGCCAGAGTAGAGGTGGGAAGGCCACAAGCCTTGACCTGCTCCCTGCACCGTGCAAAGGGATCCTCTCCCTGGCACGTGCTGGCACTCACCCTCCTTGTTCATGTAACTCCGGAGCTTCTCGTCAAGCTGACACTGCTGCTCCTCCAGCTTCAGTTCCTGCACCCTGTGGGGAGGAAAAGAGTGTGCTGGCTACTGGCTTGGCAGGGGATTGGGGTGAGCTGAGCCCCCACAGCGGCCAGGGAGCATCCCCCAAGGCTCACGCGATCATCAGGTCCGACTCCTCGCTCATCAGATTGTTCTTCTTCTGGACCAGGTACAGCAGCTGGTTTGTCCACTGTGTCTGCTGGTCAGCCAGGCTCTCTGCAGGACAGGGGAATGGTCAGTGGGATGCAGACCCTCATTGCAGGGTCACAGTGCTCTGTCCACCCTGGCTTTACCATTCTCATCCCGGAGTAACTTCTCCAGCTTGATGCCCTGCTGCTCCAGCTCCCGGAACGTCACCTCGATCTCCTCCAGCCGCCTCTGGATGGCCTGTAAGAGAAGGGCAGCACCCACCTGCAGGCCAGCACCTGCCAGCACGTGGCCACCAGCAGCAGGACAGAAGGGACAGGGTGCAGTGCCATGCTGGGGACGTGGCTCTCCCCTCTGGGGTTACCTGGGCTTTGCAGAACCTCTTCATCTGGGACTCCCTGGCCCGGCGGGCCAATGTACGCTTCCAGGTGGGGAATTTTTCCTCTTCCCTGGGGTCTGGGTACTGTGAAAGGACGGTGGCACGGGCAGGGGGGTCAGTCCCTGCACCAGGCACCTCCTGCCTTGGCAGCCACAGCTGAGCCAGACCTGATGCCTCTGTGAGAGGAGCAAGAGCCCCAGCTGCCACCTGTGCTGGTGGTGCCACCATCACTTGGGGAAAATCCTCACCAACTCTTTCACGATGCCAAGGCCTGTGTCCTGCTCCTCCTCTTTCCCCTCCTCCTCTTCCTCCCCCTCCTCGCTGTCACTGTCCTCCAAATCTGCCCAAGAAAAGATCTGTTTCAGGCTGGTTCCTCATGAGCAAGATGTAGGATACAGCAGGGTCCAGCAGGGACTGAGAGCTCTGCTCATCTGGACACTCCAGTTTGTACCACCTACCTTTCTCCATGTCAATTTTCTCCTCCTCCTCCTCCTCCTCCCAGGCGCCTTGTCCCTGCCGCAGGGCAGGGAGGGCCTCGGGTGCTGCTGGGAGCCGCAGACGAGCTGGCTTCACTGGAGGCTCGGGCTCTGCTTCACTGGTGAGGTTCAGCGTGGACAGACTGAGCTTCTCCAGCGGTGTAAGGACGATCTTCCTCCTGCCCCCGCTCTCCTCACCCTCCTCTGCTGTCCCTTGGGGTTCTGCTCTGGGAACCTCCTCTTCCCTCACATCCCCCCCAGGCTGTGCCAGCAGCTCCTGCTCCTCCATGTCACCAGTATCCGCAGTGTCCTCAATGTCCCCAGGCTCTTCCCCTGCCTGTGAGGCTGCTGGGGTGGGCTGAGGTGGACTGGGTGCCCACTCCATGGGGGACACACTCGACCTTCCAGCATCTGAGGGCGGGTGGGCAGCAGCATCAGCATCCTACGGCAGAGCAGAGCAGAGGGGTGATGCAGCACAGGGCCACACCCAACCACCCCCCTAAACATTTTGCCTTTCCTCCATCACCTACAGGGCTTTAGGGTGATTTACCCCATCAGGCAGCGCTGAAGCCTCATCCCGGGGCAGATCCATGCTGGCTGGATTGGGGTAGTGCAGCGAGCAGTAAAAATTACCTGAGGGGAGAGCGGGGAGGGGGGTGAACTCATACGACAACCTGCAAGGTGGAGAAGCCGTGCCTCAAGCATTCCCTCACCCCAAAAGCTGCCTCACCATCCTCCTCGTCGAAGGCGTAGTCGCCCAGGCGCAGCGTGGCCCCGCAGCGCCGGCACTGGAAGCAGCCGCGGTGGAAGAAGCGTCCCTCGGCGCTGGCCCGCTCCACGATGTACACACGGCGCCCGCAGAAGTAGCAGGCGTCGCTGTTCTCCCCCGTCCTGTCCCTCGGAGGCTGCGGAGGGAGAGGACAGGCAGGGGTGGCAGCGGGGGACTGGCACCCACCCTGCCCCGTGGCTGTGCCAGCAGCCATGGGGGCACGGGCAGGGCTTTGCCCCTCTCGCAGCGCTGGGTCTGGGCGCTCGGGATGGGTGAGGGAGTGGCAATCTTGGCTCCGGAAAACCAGTTGGGTCAGGAAACAGGCAGGGAGGAGCTGGGAACCTGTGGGCGTTCGCTTGTGCAGCTCTGGTCCCAGCCCTTGGCTTGGCCCTGCCAGCCACTGGTGCCCTCCTGGTGCCCCCCCTGCCCTGAGCTGGACGCTCCATCCCAAGGTGACACAAGGACCAACCTGCCCTGGGTCCATCACGGTGGCTTGTGGCAGCTCGTGGGCACTGTCCGGAGTGTCTCCATCCAGCCCCGTGTCCAGCTACAAGTGACCCAAGGGCAGGGTCAGCCCCCCACTCTCCCCCCAGGACAGCTGCACCCCAGCAGGGCCCCCTTGGGGCACCTGGGGCAGACCCACCTCAGCGTCCCTGCGGCTCCTCTTGGCCTCACTGTCCTTCTGGGCACCGTCCTGCAAACCCAAAGGGGGCGGTCAGGGTGGGGAGTGTGACAGGGTTTTGGTGTGCCATGAGGGTGTGGGTGGGGGTCCCTCACCTGGGTACGTTTGTGTGCCAGGTTCCGGCTCTTCTGCAGCTTGCTGAGGAAGAGGATGGCCCCTCGTGTGCCAGGGGGAGACAGTGGCTTCTTGCTGACCTCCACCTCTGCACAGGACACGGCCATTTTGGTGGGACCCACCCAGCAAAGAGGAGAGCACCCAGCCAGCCCCAGTGTAGCTCAGGATGGGACAAATCCCCCCAAAATCTCACACCTGGAGAGGCCCCAAAAATTTGATAGAAGTGGCTGAGGTAGGTGATGAGGTCCAGGCGGTCAGGCTCTGTCAAGGTGGCCATCTCAGCACTGGAGAGGACAGGCTGGATGCCCAGCTCCTGCTCTGCCACGTCCAGCACCATCTGGTGGGTCTGAATGGCATCCTGGGGGTCCACAGAGTCAAAGTCCCTGTGGGGAGACACGGCTGCCATCAGGGTGGGCTGGGCAGGGTGGAGGGTTCTGGGGGCTCCCAGACACTCACAGCAGGTCGGGGCGGAAGCGGTGGATGAGGGCACAGAGGGCCAAGCCGCTGGTCCAAGAGGTGCTGAAGTTGGTCACGGCCACGCCAGGGTATCCAGCCGTGCTGGCCTGGCACCAGCTCAGCAGCTCTTCGCAGACAGCTCCAGGGGCCACTGGGGAGGCAGAGACAGGGGACACCCCCCCAGTCCACCTCCTGCCTCAGACTCCATGCTTTAAGAGGAAAGGGATCCCATGGGAGCAACCCGAGACACCCCCTGTCCCCCCACAACCCTCCCCAGCAGTCTCAATGACTATGTTGAGAAAGCATCTGTCAATATTTCATGGCTCAACATCTGTGCAGCCTGAAGGGACACAGCCTCCTCCCCAGAAGGCAGCAGGGGCCTGTGTCCCCACAAGCAGAGGGGATAGAAACCATTGGTGTCACCAGGACAGCCTGCTGGACACAGGCCAGGGAACAAGAAACAAGGATGGGGAGGAAAACCAGGGCAGTAGCCACTTGGGCATGGGCTGCTGGAAGGGATGGGGCAGGACTGGTTGCTCCTACCCGTGCTGAGCCGGTTGTCGCTCTTCCTCTTGTGGTCCACCTCCACCATGCCCACGAGGTAGAGGTCCTTGACCTGCCAATGGGGACATGCCAGTGGTGGGTCACCACCAATGACACCATGCAGGAAGTGGCCCTGGCAAAGGGGACACCTGGACACCTCCCCAAAACCCTCCAGAACTCTCTGCCATCCACAATGAGCAACACATCCAATGTCCTGTGCGCTAACAGCTTCAGTCTCACACCCTTTGGGGACAGGGGACTGGGTAAATTAGTGTCACCCTGACAGCCAGGGAGGCTGTGCTGGCTGGCTGTCCCACGGCAGGACCTGGCCAGGTACCTGGCTGGCTTTGATGGCCTGCAGGTTGATGTTGGGGTAGCGCGTGGCCGGGTCGATGCTGTACTGACTGACGTTCTTGTTGGTGTTGTCCGGGGATGTCTGCGAAAGGCGCTGGTAGATGCTCTCCCTGGGTGCAAGGCACAAAGCTGGCGTCACTGCTGCCATCCCCACGTGCTCCAGACCCTGCCCAGCGGGGTGGGGACACTCACCTCTCAGCCAGCACCTCCAGCGGGGGTGTCCCGGCCGCCCACCGCCGCACCATCCACGCTGCGTCGAAGGCGGCGAGGAAGCCCCTGGCCACCCCGGTGCCCAGCGGCCAGAAGGGCTGCAGAGGGAAAGGCAGAGCTGCAACTGGAGTTGCATGGCTGGTCGGGGCAGCTGGGAGGAGGCTGGCAGCTGCCAGGCTTGGCCAGGGATGAAAGAGGGAGCGGCGGCAGGACGCGCACGGAGAGGAGGGGTGGCCATCTCCTCCCCAGCCAACGCAGCTGCGTTTGGGGACGGCTGGGCTGCTCCTCCATCCTGAACCAACCCCAAATCTCCGGTGGGGCTGGAGAAGGGGATAACCTCCCCAAAACATGCCACTGCTGGGAGCCTGCCCAAGGATGGAGCGCACTGGGCAACGGATGAGAAGCACTTGGTGGGAGGGAAATATATTGCAACCAATGCATCTTGCAAGAAGAGGGAAATGGGGACATGAGGGGGAAGCTCTCACCTCCACCAGGCAGTCGCCCACCAGCCCCAGGAGCACACGGCTCCCGTTGTGCTCCCGCACCAGCGCCGCGTTCTCCGAGCGCGTCATGCAGGTGAAGTCGAACATGTCGACATCAGGCAGGTCCCGGTGGTTGAGGGCAAACTCCAGTTCGGGCAGGCAGTAGTTGGTGGAGAAGTTGGCAGCTTCTTTGGCATAGCTAAGGAGGGCATCCCGGTTCACGTTGTCCGGGGCCAGGAGGCTCTCGATGTCCGCTTTGTCCTGTGGGGATGGGGTGAAGCTGACTGGGATGTGGGAGGTGATGTTTGTCCCTCAGCCCAATGTTTGTCCCACAGCTCTAGGGTGAAGCTGTGCCACTGCGCTCGCAGTGTCCTGGAAGGATTTTTCCCTGTGGCACAGGTGACAGCTGCTGCAGCCCCTACCACCCCAGGCAGTCAAACCAGCATCCACAATTTGCATCCCACTTGCAAGGCTTTCAGCTGCCCATTGATGTGAGATCCTGCCCTTCTCACCTGGAGGATGACCCCCTTCTTGAGCAGGCTCTGCTTCTTGGCCGTCATGACGAAGTAGTGAGTGTCATCCTTGTAGTACACGATGTTTTCCAGGTCAATGCCTGGTGATAGGGAAGGGGCTGAGCCAAGGCCACGGGGTGTCCCAGCACTGGGCTCAGACACCAAACGTCCCCTGCAATGGGGCACCACGTGGGGACATGCACCCCATTACTGGAGACATCCTGGGGCTGAGCCTCCAGCTCCCTCAGGCGGGGCAGGAGCCCCCAACACCCCACATGTGAAGGTTGGGACCACAGGACCACTGACCCGTTTTGTTGTAGAGGTTCTGGAAGAACTTCTGGTTGTAGATCCGGGCCACGCCGCTGATCTCAGCCACCTCCACCTCGGCCCGGCTGTGGCGGTTGATGAAGTTGGTGGTGATGCCAATGGCCAACTTCCCACGCGTCTCCTTCCGCTTGAACCCTGCGGGAGGGGAGAGGCGTGAGCCCCCACCCAGCCCCCCATATTGGTCCTGGGGTTCCAGGGACACCTGTTGTCACCTTCAGGGACAAATTTGCCACCGCCAGCTGAGATGAGGACGTCGAACTCGTAGTGGGTGAGGGGAGAGGAGCTGGGCTGCAGCACAGCCTGCCAGCCACCTGCAGGGAGAGGGGTGGTCATCAACATGCTGGTCCCCAGGGAGCTGCATCTCATTTCCCCCAAAAAGGCATGCCTTGGGCTAGCAGAGCGATTGGGGGGATCAGAGTGACCACCCACAGCCCTGTCCTTGTCCCCAGGAATGCCACCCACCCTGCAGAGATACCATACCTGCCTTGCCCGCGGGGGGAACAAGCCCCTCGAACCGTACATTGGTGTGCACCTCCACCCCCAGGAGCAAAGCCACCTTCAGCAGGATCAGCTGGAGCTGCCGGATACCTGGGAAGGGAGGGAGAACCTCAGGGCTGCCCCCCTGACTGCTGGGACTCCCCACAGCCAGCCTGGGCCCCCCTAAAACTCACTGATGTGGTCCAGCGTGCCGGTGCAGAAGCGCCCGTAGAACTTCTTGGCGCCCAGCGCGCGCAGGTCGTGGATGGTGAAGGGCCAGAGGTGCAGGACGTTGTTGCGGGAGAAGGAGTCGCGCTTCTCCAGCAGCACCACGCGGGCACCCAGCAGCGCCAGCTCGATGGCCGCCCGCAGCCCGCAGGGGCCAGCGCCCACCACCAGGCACTGCCACGGCACGGCACGGCACTCAGGAGGGTGGGCAGCCCCCAAGCAGGGTTGGGGTGAACCCCCCGGCACCTCCCCGCCTGCTGGGTCAGGATCTGGCCCTCCTCAGATTCCCTTGTTCTGCCTGATTCTCCCTGCAAACTGCGTGCCCCCCACCCCCTGAACCTTGCCTTCACCCGGGGCAATGGCAGCAATTACAGCGTTGGGTGAGATAAGGTGCAGGTCTGCTGAAGCCCTGACTGGGTTTGGTCTCCTGACAGCTTCTGCACAGGGATGGGACAACGGGGCACAGCAGTCAGGACAAAAGCCATCACCTGTGGGACGGGGTTAGGGTTATATCCCCTAGGGGACATCCTACTTGGCATGCTCCTATCTCCCAGAAAGGGCTTGACAGTTCCCTCAGCCCTGCCATGGGATGTCCCCAGTGAGAGGCAGCTGGGAGGAGGAAGGACGCTGCTGGCTGGGTGGCACTGAGGTGGCATCATGCCACGGGGAGCTGAGCAGTGCTAATTAACATCCTGTCCCATTAAACTCCATCAACCTCCCGCCTGGCACATCCTGCATCCTCCTGGGATGAGAGCCAGAGTGTCCCAGGGGATGTTCTCACCCAAGACAAGGACACAGGGCAGGGAGAGACCCAAACCCCTCACCCCACACCCCGGTTACCTTGGTGCCAGCACAGGCTGTGCCCTGGTCGTAGTCCTTGTGCCCAGCTTTCTTATCCAGCTTGCTCCACAGGGCCTTGGCATTCCAGTAGTTGAGGGCAGCCTTGAGGCCGTGGTAGAGCTGCAGCCCACTGCCCTGCAGCCCCAGCTGCTGGCAGAGCTCCAGGAAGCAGCCCAGCACCTCCCGGCACTCCCCGGCACGCAGGAACCTCTCAAAGATGGCATGGGCCGGGTTGCCCGGCTCGTCGGCCGGCACGCTCATCCCGTGTCACCCAGGGGCCTGGCAGAGGGACAGCAGAGGTCAGCAGGGAGGGGACCCTCCTGGATCCCCACCCCAAAACGCATCCCGTACCAGACCTGGCGTCTCAGTGCCAGGTTTCGCAGCTGCAGGTGCCGCTGGGTGGTGACGGCGCTGCCAAAATTGGCACTTTGTGGCAGCAGCGATGGAACTGTCCCCAGATGCTGCCCCCAGAGAGCCACGGTGTCACACTGCCACTGCCCCCAGAGAGCCACGGTGTCACCAGGGCAGGGGATGGGGAGGGCTGAGGCTGCAGTGAGTGGCTTCCTCCATGCAGCAGGTACCTGCAACAGCCAAGAGCAGAGCGAGTTGTTTTGGAGAGAAGATACCACTTCCTTCCCCTGCAGCCTTGGCCTCACTGGGGGGGATGGGAGGGAGCTCCTGGCTTTAGGAATCAGCCACACAGCTGCTGCAGGAACCAGCAGGCCCAGCCCTGTGGCTGGAGGGAGCGGGGTTGGATCCATCCCCCAGCTGGAATGGGGTGACCTTTTCCCCCACCTCCCCTTCTACCACTCCTGCAGTGGGTGGAAGCAGATTAGCACAGAGGAAGCACCGGTGAGGAAATCAAATAAAAGTCAAATCACCCTACAAGCAGCCCCATCGTGCCACAGAAGCTGTGAGAGGAAGGCTACAGCACATTTCCCCCTAAGCCTCCCAAAACCCCCTACCCCTGGCATCTCCCAGGGAACCAGTTCCCCTCACTTCTCTCTCCCAGCACTGCCCTGAGCACCAGCCTGTGCCCTCTTTCTTGCCATCCCGAGCACCAAGAACAAAATTTTGCCTTTTCCAGCCACTGTGGCCAAGCCCAGGGCTGTGAAAAGCTCCCCCAGCCCAGCACGGACACGGCAGAGACACGGGGCTGCCAAGAAGGATCCTCTGGAAAAGCTCGGGAAGACGCAGAGCTTCCACCTTTGAACCGCAGCTCTTTGCCCTCCGAGTGTCACCGTGGGCACGTGGCAGCACCCGGAAGGTGGCAGTGGGACAAGGATGTCGTGAATAAATTAGGCAGCCCGCAGGAGGAGGGGGCTGGGGTGGGGGTGTGCGGAGAAAGGAGTTACTTAAGGGCTTAAATTTTGGCTGGAAAGGCCGAATTCTGGCTGGATTTCTGGTTCAGCCTCACTCAGGACTTTCCCGACAGCAGAACTTGCAAAAAAAAAAAAAAAAAAAAAAAAAAAAAAAAAAACCCCCAAAAAAAAAAACCAAAAAAAAAAACCCCCTTGTGCTTTGCAAAGCAGTTCTGCAGGTCACCTTCCCTCCAATCACTTCTGCAGGTCACCTTCCCTTCCAGCATCACACTCAGGAAATCCGGGCATTTTAACCCCTTCCTTCCTGGGCAGACATAGGACAAGGCACCCAGCAGGGCACAGCAGGGGCTGGCACACACCGGGGTGGCAGCGTGGGGACAGAGGACATGGCCCATGCGCTCACGACAGGCCTGTGAGAGCTGAGGACAGAGTTCTGCTCTTCCCCTGAGCGCTGCTAGCGACACAGGATGCGGCTGGGGAAACTGAGGCAGCGCTGGGAACCTCCCCAAGGAGTTTGCAGTGCTCCCACCCATCCTTGTGCCAGGGAGGCTGCCCAGGCAGAGCTGGCTGCCAGGCACCAGTGCCCCGTGCAGATGGGCTGTCCCCCAGCAGCTCAAGTCACTGCTCTGGCACCTCCAGGGCCACGACAGCAGCCCCAGGGAGATGGGGCAAAGGCAGTGCTCAGGCTGGGAGCATCTACTCCAGCCTCAGCAGCTCCTGACTCTGGAAAAAGCCCATCTCGGCCTTGATTCCCACTGGACGGGATGCCAGGGGCAGCGGGCTGCCTGGGAAAGCTCTGCAGCCCCAACGCTCTGGCAGGGAGGCTCAGAGGAGGCAGAACAACAAGCCTTGTGTTACACAGTTTCCTACAGAAAGGATTATCCTGCCAGCTCTCTGGCACACTCAAACCCCCTTGAGAACTGCAAGCAAGGTCAGAAACTCCTAGGAAAGCTCAGTTCCTGCAGGCTTGATACAAAACCCCAGCTTCCAGCCCACAAAGGCCAGAGGCAGTGGAGGAGGGCACAGCCTGTGCTAGGCTGCCTCTGGCTCTGCTCCTTCCATCAAAGCCTCTTGCATTTCTTCCCCTAACACTGTTCCTGCAAGCAGCAGGGAGGAGGGGGGGGTGCAGCCAGCCCTGACTCATCTCATGTCAGCTTTGGTTGGCTGCAGAAATGTCTGTGGGGACATCAGCCGGGTCTGAGACATGGGGGCACCCCCGGAGCAGGGACACCTCATCCCGCCATGTGGGTCAGGGTCTCCCTCTTGACCTTGCAGGAGAAGCATTCTCTTGGGAGAGGGTGGGGGAAGATGCTTGGGAGCTCACGTGGCTCCCAGGCACATGGAAATAGGGTGGGAAAGGACACAGCTCCAGAGCTGATGAAAGCTGGGAGGATTGTCAGCAGATCGGCTCGCTGCTGCTGCGCTGGCTCCCAGCATGGATGGGCTGTCCTGGGTCTGGGATCCAGGCTCCCAGCATGGATGGGCTGTCCTGGGTCTGGGATCCAGGCTCCCAGCATGGATGGGCTCTCCTGGGTTTGGGATCCAGGCTCCCAGCATGGATGGGCTGTCCTGGGTCTGGGATCCAGGCTCCCAGAATGGATGGGCTCTCCTGGGTCTGAGATCCAGGCTCCCAGCATGGATGGGCTGCCCTGGGTCTGGGATCCAGGCTTCCAGCATGGATGGGCTGCCCTGGGTTTGGGATCCAGGCTCCCAGCATGGATGGGCTGTTCCAGGTCTGGGATCCAGGCTCCCAGCATGGATGGGCTGTCCTGGGTTTGGGATCCAGGCTCCCAGCATGGATGGGCTGTTCCAGGTCTGGGATCCAGGCTCCCAGCATGGATGGGCTGTTCCACGTCTGGGATCCAGCCTGGACACCATAGGCCAGGCTGCTGAGCTGGGCTGGACCCCAGGAGAGCCCCTCCAGTGAAAGGCCAGGGGTGGATGGAGGGTTTCTTGTGACCACCCAACAGCTCGGCCAAAGCCTTGCTTTCAGCCACCAGCTGAGCTGGGAGGGTGTCAGGAAGGGGTGAAGGCACTGGGAGCCCTTACAAATGTTATTGTGCTCAGGAGAAACACCCCAGGTGTGGGACTGGGCAGGGAGATCACCCTGGCCAATGCCACAGAAATTTGCCTTGATTTTGATGGGTTTTAATCCTTGGAGGGAGGGGAAAATCTCTGTCAGCTCCTCTGGTGTGAGGCAGGGATGTGGGTGCATGAGCACACCCCAGCTTTGCAAGGCCCCAGCATGGAGCTGTGGGAGGAAGGGCTGAGGAGAGGGGACAAACCAAACCTGCATTAAGCTTTTCCAGGGATCCACACACCACAGCCTGGCCACGTCCCGGGGAGCCCTGGGCACAGACAACACTTGGGGGGGAGCAAACGTGCCCCCCTATTTTTGCTGCTCAGCCTGTTCCCCTGCCCAGCACCAGCCCACAGAAGGACCTGCCTCTTGCAGCTGAATTTTGGTAAAAAGAGGAAGTCTGGTCACGGCCAGGTTTCACACCCCACATCATTCTCCTCTTCCTACTTCTCCTTTACCCCAACACATCTGCGACAAAGACATCTCCGAGATGATGCACAGGGCATCCCTCATGGAGCTTAGCAAAGCTCTTCCCCATCCTACTCAAGGGAGCCCTGGAGGAGGAGGAGGAGGAGCAGGGACTGCTCTCCTTCCCCTTTGTCCCGAGGGCAGCAAAGGTCAGCGGCTGGAGGGGAAAAGCAGGGAGGATGGAGCAGGGGGGACGCCGCTGCCCCCAGGAGGGGCTGCGGGGAGGGAAAAAGCGCTGCCCTGCCACGGAGCGTGCCAGGGACAAGCAGGACACGGGTTCGGGGGTCTGAGCCCTCCCCAGCACGGCGGAATCATCGCCCGGTTTTGTCAGCCCCGTCCCCGCCTTGCGCAGCGATGCTCGCAGCGGGGCGGGCGGAGGGACCGGACCTCGGGATGCTGGCACCGAGCGGGGGCACACGGGGCCGGGGGGCAGCAGCGCCCTGACCTCCCCACGCCCAGGATGCTCTGCCCATCCTCACCCTCCACTCACCTCCACAGCCCCTCGGAAGGGGAAACTGAGGCACGGACCGGGGCGCGGGGAGGGACCGGAGCTGGGCGCAGCCGGGCGATAGCGAGCAGGAAACGAGCTGCGGCTCTGCAAGCAGCAGCTGCCGGCCCGGCCCTCCTCTCCTTTGCCCTCCCCTCCTCGGCCTTCCCCTCCCCTCGCCTGCCCGACCCTCCCCCGCGGCCGGGGGGACCCGGGCCGGGCGGTGCCGGGACAGGGGCGGCCCCCGGGCCACCCCTCTTTGTGCCGCTGCGGATGTCGCGCCGGAGGAACAGCGGGACGAGCGGCACAGCGCAACCCCAGCTGGGTTTTTTTTTTTTTGTATTTTTGCGTGAGAAACCAGACTTTTCGCCGAGCAAACAAAAAAAATTCGGGTGATGAAACCAAACGGCTTCACCCCCTTCCCACTGTGCCGCTGTGCTGAAACCGGCCAGGAGGGTGCTGGGGACACCGGAGGGTCCGGGGGGGGACCCACCCTGGGGAGGACCCACCCAGTGCCAGCTCCGGACCCCGACCACGAGAGGAAACTTCGGGGATTACGTTTCCATTTCCGTGTGGGGACGGTCCCGGCGGGGTGAGGGTACCTTGGGGCGGGGGGGGAGCCCCCGGGGTCACCGAGGATCGCCGCTGGCCGGGTGCTTTTGGGTGTTCTGGTGGCGGTGCGCTCGGGGTGCTGCTGGACATTGGCGGTGTGCTGGGACAAGTGACACGGCCAGGGTGCTGTGACGCACGGGGACAACTTGACAGAGGCTGTGGCCGGTGACTCAGGGACACGGGGCGAGCTGGCGAACGCGCGTTGCTCACGTCGGTCACCCTGAGTCACCCGTGGCACTGCCGGCGGCTATGGCGAGCAGGGTGAGCAGCCCGGCACCTCCATCTGCAGCCCCTCCGAGCCTTCCTGGGGATCCTGGTGCTGAACCCCCACCGGGGCAGCTCGGCCGGGCTCTGCTGGTCCCTGCAAAGCCGCTGGCTCCGGGTGCAGCAGTGGAACCCACCCGTGTTTCAGCGGGAGGCTGGGGCGGACACGGAAACGGGGCGTGTGTGCCAAACCGAGCGGTCGGAAAGAGCTCCCTCTGTTTGTGAGCCTGCCGTGGGAAAGGCTGGTCACCGATCTGTGCCTTCCAGCCCAGCATTGTCCCCCGGGCAGCAGCAAAGGGGCGTTAGATGTGAATTACAGCAGGGACTGTGGTGGCGCTGAGGGGGATGTGGTCTAAAGAAACCCACGGCCGTGGGCAGCCCGGGCTGTCCCCAGCACAGGGGATGTGTGGGAGCACATCTGCACCCCTCAGTGTGCTGAGAACAGGCAACTCACAGCATCAGTGAGAGCTGCTGCAGCTCCCTGAACCCTTCATGGTTATATGGAGGTGCCAACCATAGCTTAGATCCTACCACAGATCCTAGCCCCTGCTCCGTCATTACAATTCCCCCATTTTTCCTCCCATTTTATTATTCTAGGGGTTTGGTGTTTTAGGACGTGGGGAAGGAGCAGAGATGCCTCTGAGCTGCCCCTCCCTGGTCCAGCTAGGCCTTGGATGATGCTGCAGACTGCACCCGCTGCAGCTCCAGGACACGCACGAGGAGGAGGAAGGCGATGCTCAGGAGAAGCAGCCAGAAGAAAAGCCAGTAGTGCTGTGGGAAGAAGAGCCATGGACGCCACAGCTCCGCTGCAGACCCCTTGGACCTGGGGAGAAGGTGACACTTGTCATCCGTGGGGGAGAGCAAATCCCACCTCCACCCCATCTGGGGACAAGGAGGATGTTTAACTCGGCCCCAAACCTCACTGCCCTGTTACAAACCCAAGTGAACAAGCCTGAGGAGGGCATGGGCAACATCCCAACCTTCCACCACTAAATCCCCCAGCCCCCTGCCCAAGTGCTGGGGACCACAGAGAGGCCAGCAGCCGTGGGGGGATGCTGGGCACACGCAGGGTGCTGCTCACGTCAGCCCAAGCTGCTCCGGCTCCTCGTTCCCTGCGCTTGAGCCTCTGCCATCTGCCTCTGCCACCAGCTTCTCTGTCACAGTGCTGTCCTGTGGCTCCAGCTCTCTCCTGGGGAGGGAGAGGACGGGGTCAGTGCTGTGCCACGTGGGCCTGTGGCAGCAGGTGCCACGGCCACCCAGCGCAGTTACCTCTGGGTGCTGGGCCAGCGCTGGGCCCCCTCGGGCTCCAGGTCACCTGCGGGGGCTGCTCGGCTCTCAGGGCTGGCACCTGGCTGGGCACCCAAGGGGGGAGCATCAGTGGGGACACGCAGCCGCGGTGGCAGCGTGGCTGGGGACACAGCTGCTGGCTGTCCCCACCCAGCACGTCCTTACCAAGAGCTGCTTGGGGATGACGGCGATGCTGACCCTGCGGCGGGCAGAGCCCTGCAACAGAGGGGCTGGGGGTGAGCCTTGTGCTTCTCACCTCCTCCTTCCCCATCACCTCCCCAGCACAGCCAAGGGACACCACGGGACACTGCCAGCTCCCACTGGAGCTAAGAGGGGAAGCTGGAAAGCCAGGGAAGGTCAAAGCCAAGAGGATTGTGCCTGTCACTACTGCTGCAAGCTGTGCTGGTGGGGCTGCCTGACCCCCTCCCCTGCCTCTGGAGCTATAGGGGGATCAGTGTTGGATTCAAGCTGGTGCTAAAATACAGCCCAGGCTGTGGGTCTTGCACTACGACCCTGCAATAGAAGGATCTGCCTAAGATCTCTTGCACAGGCAGCCCTCAGCTTGCTGAGCATCCTGACTGCCAACAGCTCTCCGAGGCTGCCCCTGCATTGTTTCATCCCAGCAGATCTTCCCTGCAGCAAGCAGCTGGCTGCAGTGACATTGTTTGGGGACAGGTGGGTGTGTGGGGACAGCCAGGTGGGGGAGGGCAGCAGGGCATGGGGAGGCAGTGGCTCCAAGGCTCCTGAACTGGGACCAGTTACCTGCTGGAAAGTTCTCTTCAGGGGGTGAGGTCTCAGCCGTGGCTCCACATCATCTGAGAGCAAAGAGAAGCTGCCTTACATCATCCCCAGCACTAAGATGTGACAGAAGGTCACAAAGCTCCCTGCCACTGAAAGCTGTCCTGGCCATGTGCTCTGTGCTTGGCACAGGTGGTGCCCCAGGCAGGGGGACCTGGTGCTGTGCCCACAGTGGCACCTGTGGGGCTTGGTGCTCAGGAACAGAGCCCTTTTTGTGCAGGGGGCCCCCGGCCCTGCATTCCCAGCTGGGTTATGGCTCTCTGGCTGCCAGCACCTGCTCCCACACTGATCTGTGGCTGCTCCCACACTGATCTGCTGTTCCACTGTCCCCTCACAACTGCCACCAGCTGCTCCCCCCTAGCAGCCCTCAACTCACAGCACCACTGGCTCTGTGGTGCAGGTCACACTGACCCCCCAGAGGGGCTCAGGACCGAGCCCTGCAGGGTTGCTGCAGGGTGCCAGCCCTGCCCAGGCCCCGGTGGCAGAGCCCACCTCACCCTGGGTCTCTGCCAGCTGCCGGTTGCGGGAGTTCTGCTGGATCAGGCGCTTCATCTCCTCCAGCTCCGCGTGCTCCCGCTGGTGGTGCCGCTTCAGGTTCTCCACGTGCTGGACCATCACCTCTGCTGCTCGGCTCATCCGGGCCTCCTGCAGCCAGGTGGGATGGGGGATCAGGGCCCCTAAGTCTCTAAGGAGCAGCTCTCTGCCAGTCCCTCCCCGTGCCTCCCCCCAGGCAGTGCAGGTGCATCCCCTGCCCGCTCCCGGGGCAGGTGGATGGATCCCTCACACCCTGCTGAGCACAAACATGAGGTCAAGGAGGAGGGACAAACCCCAGCAAGCCCAGGGATGAGTCCCCAAGCCTGTGTGTAGCACCTCCATCGCTCACCTGGTGCACAGCCCCCAGTTTCTCTGCAGCACTGGTTGCCCGCTCAACAGCTGCTGACAGCACGGCCAGGTTGTGCTGCAGCTGCTGCAGCGTCTCCTTGCAGCCTGCATTGGCACAGGACCGGCCCAGCCTCTGTGGGGGGAAAGGATGGAGCTGCTGGAGCTGGCACTCTGAGTTGTCCAAACCCCTCTGGGGCTGGGTGATGCCAGCACGTGCCAGCCCCCTGCCCCGGTGCCCACCTACCTCCAGGGCAGCCCGGCACTGCCCCAGCTCCTCCTGGATGTTTTCCTCTGCTGCATCCCGTGCCCGCTTCTCCACCTGCACCCGCTGCTGCAGGGTGAACACGTCGCAGCGAAAAGCCAGGGCGAGGTGGGCAAAGGCTGCCTGAGGGGTGAGAGGTAGAAGGGAAGCCACCAGGGCCACGTGCTGCTGTCCCCAAGGCACAGACAGACCTCCCAGCGTGCCACCAACCAGGGCAGTGCTAAAGACAATTAGCACTTGCCTTGCCCCAGCACCCTCAGGCTGCTGCATGCTGGGGACAGTCCCCTGAGATGCCAGCCCGGGGAGACACGTCCCCCAGGCAGCTGAGCGTCCCCCAGGCAGCTGATAAGGCACGGAAATGTTGAGCCCTCCTGGCAGGAGCACACGCCAGGCAGACGCCAGCCCTCGCTGCAGGTCCTGGCTGGTGGCTGAGCCTGACTCAGCCCTGGCACTCGCAGGGAAATTATTTTTATTAGCGAGGCTCCCGCCACCTCCCCGGCTAAGGGCGCTCTTCGGCAGCTGCAGAGCACTTTGTGGGATTGCCAGGCACGCAGAGGACAGGCTCATGGAAATGCAGCTGCCTCCAATTGCCAAAAGCATCTCTGGGAAAGGGTTGATGAGGTGGCTGCCAGGGGCCTGCGGTGCTGAAGGAGCAGGGCACAGCCAGCACGGTGAGCCAGCACGGTGTCTGTCCTTGTGTCCCCTTTCCCCAGCCCACCCACGGCCCCCAGCAGCCCTCACCTCCAGATCCTGCTCGGTCAAAGCCACCCTGCAGAAAGAGAAGTGCTGTCAGGGATGGTGGCATCATGGGGGCTGCATGCTGAAAATGCCCTTGCTCTGCTCCCAGGGGTGCCAGCCACCACGAGGAGTGGGAAGCCAAGTGCCCATTGTGTGGACAGCAACTCTTGTGCAATGGAAAAGGAGGAAAGTCCAATCTCTGAGCCCTGGGACCCCCCTGTCCTGCACCCCCAGAGGGATGCAGGTGCTCACTGGTCTTACCTGTGCAAGCCAAGCCTGTCCAGCACTGAGAGCTCACTGGGGAGACTCAGCAGCGGCTCCTCCAGGGTTTCTGCACCTGCAGGAAGGCAGTGGGGCCACAAGAGACCCACATGAGGGCTTTCCCTGGGCCTTCCCTCCTCCCTCTGTCCTCCTGCCCTAGCAGGGGGTGCTGCCCCTCTTTTGGAACCATCCCAATCCTTCCCCAGCATCAGGGGGGCTTTGGCTCCTCCCAGGCCAGTCTCCCCTTGCCCATGTCCCCACCAGGGGAGGTGACCCTCACCAGAATACGTTCCCAAGCTCATCCCCAGCTACTTCAAACCTCCCCCTAAGGGGACCCAGCTAGGATGTGAGATGGGGACTCACCCACCTCCTTCAGTCCTGTCACTGTCCCCAGGGTGCACAGCCTGCTCCTGCACGGCCCTGCCTGGCTCCTGAGAGGCACAAAGGTGCTGTTGGGGCAAACCTCTCCCTGGTGCTGCACAGCACCCCGAGAAGAGCAGCACAGAGGGGCTGGGGGCCTGCCTGAGCCCAAGGAACCAGGCAGGGTTTGTCCCCCACTGTCACCTCCCTCTCACCTCGCTGACTTGCTCCACGCTCTGCTCGCTCCTGGCCAAAACCCCAGCTGGGTGTCCCTGGGGACTGCTCATCCTGCCTGGGGACAGAAAGGCTGCTGGGGGCTGGGCAGCAGGGCCCCCTCCCCGGCCTGACACCACTTCAGGAGAGACCCCCAAAACTGCCACTGGCACTTCTGCAGCCTGCAGGCTCCCAAGGGACGTCAGCTGGCAGGTGTGCCCCCAAAATCCCTGTGGGATTAAGGGAGCTGGAGCTAAACTGAGCCAGGTCAGGGGGAGGAGGATCCAGTGCAGAGGGTGGGCTGCAGCTGGTGA